CATCGAAACATTTCTCACCATTTCTCATTCCCAATTCCACGTCTCTGAGATCGGCCTCGCCCTCGAATCTCCAATCCGGCCGAATGGTTAAACCGGCATAAACGGATAATAAGCCAGCGGTGTTTGAGCGGAAGCAGGATGGTGGCGGCAGGATGGACAAGAGGACGAGGCGAGACGAGGCGAGGCGAGGCGAGGCGTTTGCACGGTCGAACGGATTCGACGGTGTCCTCGTTACACGTGGCCAGGGGAGAGGGGGAAGCGCTCGACGTTAAGTTGCACGTGGCAGGCAGGTATTCGCGATATACGATATACGTGGCAACGTGGGCGCTTTGGCGAAACAGCAAGGGGCACCGTGTGTACACGCGGGCCAGTGCACACAAACCGGTGACATTTGCGCTGATTAGTTATTCGTACGCGTGCGCCAACACATCCGCAATTAGAGCGGCTCCTGAAATTGGCCGGGTTTTCTCCTCGCCAAGCGATATTCTCTGCGCGCTGGCTACATCGAAAGGCATTTCCAATGGTGTTTGGAAACCGTGTACCGATGGATGATACGGTTCACGGGGATTAACCAGCCCTCGCTCGGAACGCACAGACGCGTATGTGCGTGCGTGTGAAGGATGGAGGGGGAGAATACTCGGCTCGTTCATCTTGGATGGTTATGGAAGATGGATGTCGAATGATCGTGTGAATTATTTATAAAACTAGTGGAATCGTGCAAGAGTGGAAATGGAGAATACGGGAACATTTGCGTGTTATCCGAGAATGAATTGGGATGAATTTGTTACGAAGTTGTTACGCGGTTCGTATGATTTAACGATGTTATATTATATCGAAGGATCGAACGGAGAGTTTTACGGAACGATGGAAGAATTTCATTTCAAGAGTTTTTTATTTTTCTATTTTTTTCCCAAGTTGTTTGGGATATAATTCGGGAGAAATTATTGCATCGCGTTTTTTTCGTGATCGAATATCTAAATCGATGGATGGAATTCGTCCGTGCTTGGCGCTCGAGTTTCGGATACGTGTCGGAGATACGTGGCCACAGAGGTTTCAAGGGATGCATTGTTTTCGCGGAGGAAAGTTCGTATTGGTAAAGTTCGCGTTGAGCGATGCTCGACGTTGCATCACGAGCTGGTTGAAGATTATTATCTCTGGTGAAAGTTTTCGATGAGATGCGCGAACCGGGGACGAAGAGGGGACGAAACGCGCAAGATTTTTTGACAAGATTCGCTCTGTTTTTCTCGCGTCGTGGATCGATTAATCGATAATACTACGATTTAGTACAGCGTTATCGATTAATTCTATCCAAATTCTAGAATTACGTCAATATTTTGAAGAGAGAAAAGTTTGATAGCAAATTTTATTACGCACACGTGAATATTTATCCTTTGATCGAGATGATTGATGACCGGGTTAGAGGAGGGGGGCGATCAATTTTACGAGCTCGAACGAAATTTGTCCAGGCAATTTGAAAAATGTCCATCGTGTCCAAAAACGTTGTAGCCCATTTTTGTAAACACTTTCTCTCTCTCTCTCTCTCTCTCTCTCTCTCTCTCTCTCTCTCTCTCTCTCTCTCTCTCTAAAATTAAGAAATCTGTTAAAAATATGAACTCTGAATTTTTTTATAAATCGATTTCTAAAAGACCAGACTCTTTCTCTGTCTCTGATTAATTTTTAATCAAACGAATCTGTTACGATTTAAAAAATTAAATAACAGTTCAGATTTCGTCAAAGTGTCTCTTTTGAAATTCTGAGATCTTCTTCCTCACTTTTTCGAGGAAACTTCGAAGAAAAATAGGTGAATCGATCGTATACAAATA